AATGGGGCATGCAAAAAGAAATTTGACAAAGGCAATGATGTCAAATGGATTTAAAATAAATGAGTGTGACAAATGTGTTTATATTAAAACACAGATAAAGTTATGTCATTGTATGTCTTTATGTAGATGATATGCTCATCACAGGTAGTAATAATGACATGATTAAATACCCAAGAAAATGTTGAATAAACTTTTTGACATGAAGGACATGGGCATTGCTGATGTAATTTCTTGGTATGAAATTACCAAAACATCAAAGGATATGCTTTGTCACAATCTCATTACATTGAGAAAATATTGACAAATTTAGCAAAGATGATGATCATCTTGCTAGAACACCTGTAGATGTTAATTTGTATCTTTTCTAAGAATGTAACAGGAAAGTATTTCTTAATTAGAGTATACCCAAATTATTGGAAGCTTAATGTACTTGATGAACTGCACTCGCCAGATATAGCTTATGCAGTAAGTAATTAAGTAGATATACGAGTAATCCGGGAGTAGAACACTGGAAAGCAATTATAAGGGTTCTAAGGTATCTCCGATTTACATCGTAATATTGGGTTGAATTATACTAGATATCCCGCAGTACTTGAAGGATACTGTGATGCAAATTGGATATCGGATACTAGAGACTCGAAGTCCACCAGTGGGTATGTCTTTACTCTTGGTGGGGCGGCTGTATCTTGGAAATCTTCCAAACAGACTTGTATTGCTAGGTCCTATGTAGACACCCCATTTTTGACCGACCTTAGACTCAGACGTCACCATTGAGCGCTCGGTGATACTACATATTATGCTCGTTTAGAAGTCTCAGAGTCGCGGCCGTGAGCCCTGCCTCCGGACTTCCGAACCCTCTTCTGTGCCTTGCCTCGGTTTGCAAACCAAACTCGGTTTTTCTCTGTTTCTTTTCCTGAGGGAAGGCAGAGGTCCTATAGACCATCTCTCAGTGGCTGTAGGCTACGTTTTGTGGCTGTAGGCCATTTTGCCCATTTCGGAGCCCGGTTCCCGGTTTTTCGGAGCCGTCAGGCCGTTTGCCTCGGTTCGGGACCGCTTAACCATCTCCTATTGCTCCGATTTTTGGCATACTTCCTATTTACTCCTTTTGAGAGACACTGAGGCCCGAGAGATCCACTTTGTGGTCGAATGCCACTTTCGGTGCTTAACAGGCAGTTTCGGGGCCCCGAACTGCGTGTTTTGGCCCCCGAACATTCGTTTTGCATCGGTTTTCGTTCATTTTTGGCAGGTACCTCTATTTCATCCCCAGGAAGGCCGTAGAAGGGTGGGAGGCCAGCAATTATTTCAGTAAGCAGTTATATATCCTCTGACGCCCTCCGACGCCCGTTTTTCTCACTTCCGAGCCAATGCTGAGCACCCTTGGGCCATTTTCTTGAACTTTTAACCACATATTTGTGATGTACACACATGGGAGGACACCAAAAGTTGGTGGCTGGCCAGTAATGTTGCTTGACCCTTTTGAACCCTTACTAAAAGTGGCCTATTCTCTCTCCTGTTTTACAGTTGGCAATTTTGAACCAAAGGGTTGTGTTGAGGGCACCTGGGAGGACACCAATGTGAAGTGGCCGGCCACTAATTCAACTTGGCCTTTTTGACCCTTGGCCGGCCACCTGCAGCCAGAATGCCAGGCCGGCCTACTTCTTCAGGTTGAGTACATTCCAGCCGTGCCTTGGTTTTCCCCCAAAAATATCTATATCCGGGGGACCCTTTTGGAGGGAAAAGACAAAAATCTGTATCCGGGGGACAACCTTTTGGGGGGGAAACTTGATCCATTTTCCCCCCACTTTTTCCCTCCATTTCTCCCCCTCTTTGGTGGAGATACTAGGCTGGCCAGCTCTGAAAAAAGGGTTAGAAAAAATTCCCTCAAGCCCTTTGCATTGGATCTCTCTCCCTCTCCATCTCCAAGTTTCCATACTTCCAACCCTACACCATTTTACACTACACCACCAAGCCCCACCCTTTCCTCCTTCATTCCAGTAGCTGGAGGCTATTCTTCAAAGCCTAAGGAGCCACAAACTCAAGCCAAGAAGCTATCAAAGTTTGGTCTTCAAGGGTGAGTACCAATTCCCTCTTTTTGAGCTTAATTTTGCAACATTTGTTTAGCTATTTTGCTTGCTGTTTTGAGCTCCGACCAAAACTGAAAGTACCCTTTATTTGAGCTCTATTTCATGTTTCATTAAGGGAATTTTGGCATTTGAGGTCCCTATCTTACACTTGCTTCATTATCCTTCTTATATACCGTAATCTTGCATAGTATTTTTGGCATGTGTGTGATCTGTTTTGGAGCATGGTGTAAACTGTATATAGGCTTATTTTGAGCCCCTCTTCAACATTGAAGAAGGGCTCATTACTGTTTGGGACCTCCATGTGCCACTTGTCATTATATCCCTCTTTGGTCCCCATTTTTGCATGATCTATTAGCCTATTATGCTTCTGTTTTTGGTCATTTTACAGAACTGAAAACAGTCTTATTTTGACCCCATATTCATGTTTCATTAACGGTCTTTGGGTTTTTGATAAATTTTTTGTATACTTTGTGTTTTGACCTCTTTTGGGCCCTATCTTGCATGGAATTTTGAGCATACTTGTGTACTGATTTAGGCTTGGCCATCAACTGTAAAATATCATATTTTTGGCCCCTATTCAATATGAGCATACTCGTGTACTGATTTAGGCTTGGCCATCAACTGTAAAATATCATATTTTTGGCCCCTCTTAAATATTGTAGAAGGGCCCTAATCTGTTTGGGGTCAGCAGCTGTGAGTTGCTTCTTTATCTCACATTTAGGGCCATTTTTGCATGCTATTTTTGCCCTATTTGTGTTTGCTGTTTGGCCATGCTTTGAACTGTAAAAATTCTTATCTAGGGGCTGCCTTGCTTCTGTCTTTTCATCTCATGTTCAAATAATGCATGCTTTGTATAGTTGTAAGCCATTTCATGTACCTAGTTTTGCATTTCGAGAGAAATTCCATGCATCGAGTGTCATTTCGCCTTGTTTCGGGGTTGTTTTGCCCCTCATTTTGCTACTGATGTTTGCATGTTTACATATCATATTCCATGTCTTTGCCATGTCTCATTAGAGTGGCATTTCGGTGCTTGATGGTAGGTCCTCGGTTTGCGTGCACGCATGCACGCATTTCGAGTTGTCTTGTTTTCATCTGATGGCCTCCTACGTGAGTGTGGCTGAGGTTCTCTCACGTTGGTGTAAGCCCATTATTGCATTGTGTATGCCATTTCATCCATAGCATTGTGTATGCTCGGTTGTGTATTACCTCGTGCATTGTGTATGCCATTTCATAGCGTTGTGTATATTAGGTTGTATCTTAGTTGTATTTCATGCATATCATGCATATTGTATTGTGCTTAGGATAGGGGTTAGCCCGGGCACGGGAAACGAGGTACGTTTCGTACTTCGAGTGACGGAACGTGTCTCAATTCCCCAGTCACCAACACCCCAGATTATCCATGATGGAGTTAGGTTTTGTTGTGTTTTTATGTGCATTAATTTTATATTGAGTTGCACAATTCGACTCCTCGGCCATCATGCATCGAGATGTGTCATTGGTGGCACGAGGATCGAGGCATGCATATATCTGTGAAAATACATTGCTATGCCCCTTTCCTGCTCTCTATTGCAGCAAATCAAGAATCAGCGGTCTTCCGAGGCTTGGCAC